GGACCGTACCCAGGGTACGCTCCGGCAGTACCCTGGGGGACATAGACCCTATCAGCGACACGCACACACACTCGCTCTCGTTCTGTGCCTTGTGTCTCTATATATGCAATAATATAATAGTAATGCTAGACTGCACTCGTGTGCCCTTGAATCAACGATGCGATTAACGTTGGAGCTTTTCGCTTCTCTCGTCAGTTTAGAATTCTAAGAGTCGGAGGAGCAAGCGGTTGTGATTGCATTACTATTTCTCTCTTCCTTCGACGTTGTTCATCGCCTCCTTCCCTCTTCAGAGCAAGCCTTGCTGGTGTGTTAATTGTCATAGTAAGTAAGTAAAAACTTTATTTAACGACGGTAAAATATGTTAGGTACAGACACAATAAAATGGCGCGGACCTATCTTCCACAAGTTCGTCTCCCAACAATAGAACAGTTAAATATTATATAAATACACAAGAAGAGTTGAAGTACTTGGACTAAATTGTACGGGGTAAGTAGAGCATGGGGTAGCAAGAGTAATGGGCCCTATTGATAGGGCAAGTTTATCTCTAATGATTAATGTCGTGTCCCCTGCCTTACACTACTTCCCCCTTGCCCGTTGTGGCTTGGCCGGCCTTTGCCCCGCTTCCCCCACATGACCTCCCTTTGTGCTAGACTGGTACTCGATTACTCGATTACTCGAGCCGAGCCGAGCCGAGAGCCTAGCCTAATTACCTAATTACTTAATTAATACTACTTACCTTACTTAATTACCTAGGCCGAGAGGTGGGACCGGGTACCAGTCTACGTTTGTTCTAGTTGCCTGGCCGGCCGTCGCCTTGCTTTCGTGGTGTGTCTCTGCTCTGCTTGTCAGGCCCTATGGCCTACTTGCCTGCCCTTGCCTGCTTTTACCTGCTTGCCTGCTTTTACCTGCTTGCCCGTCTCTATCTGCTTGCCAGTCTCTACCTGCTTGCCAGTCTCTATCTGCTTGCCCGTCTCTATCTGCTTGCCAGTCTCTACCTGCTTGCCAGTCTCTACCTGCTTGCCAGTCTCTATCTGCTTGCCAGTCTCTACTACCTGCTTGCCAGTCTCTATCTGCTTGCCCGTCTCTACCTGCTTGCCAGTCTCTATCTGCTTGCCAGTCTCTACTACCTGCTTGCCAGTCTCTATCTGCTTG